CAGTTAAAAGGGTGTCCCACCTCCTCTGGAAACAGGGAGAAGGAAAACTCTCAGTAGTCAGGAATAGTTGGTAGCTGGAAAGAATGGGGATGCCATTAATGAGCAACCCTACAAGGCTGAAAGAGAAAAACATGCATAAGAAAGCTGCAGAGCATGAAATCCAAACTCCATCAGTCATTTAACCTGTTGAAATCACTCTCTGGTCTTCCACAGGAAATCAGTAGATCAGGAGGACTTAGCACTACCTAATAGTGTCAACAAAAGTAGCAATGAAAAATAGTGTGGCTCAATACTAGGGTGACACGTATAGATCTTTTAGGTAGGGTTTAGGGAGTTGATGTAGACAAGTATGTCCTTTTAATTGCCCTTCTCACGTCCCTTAGATAAAAACAACGCAGAGGAGTAATCTCCAGAGGAATATAGTTCTCTCTAAATGTGAAAGATATTAAGCAAACATTCTGCTGCCCATAGAGACTGTAAAAGCTCTTCTCACCATAAAGTTTGCCATCTCCTGTTTCTGTACTTACATGAAGAAAGCAAAGGCTAACAGAAGTTTAGTAACCACATGGGAAAGATTGTCACAGATTTTGTCTGTGGGTCTTTCAGACCATGGGAACACTTCTGGGCCAGGAAGAATGCGAAATATTCCCTTCGTTGGGCTTGACCTTCGTTATGCCATTCCCAGACCAATTGTTGACATCAATTTTGTCATATCAGAACATGGCTGGAGTAAGGTGATTTTACAAGAACATAACCAAAATAAAAACACTGTGAGGATGATGTGTCTGTGCTCTATCAAGAGTTATCCTATCTTTTTCTTTCTTGTCTTTCCTATATTGGTATGGAGAAATATAAGTTTAATCTCTGGGGGAGGGTACTTTACACAAGTTGGGTGTGAGGCAATGCAAAGCAAAGGCTCGATGAAGTCTGCAGTAAAGGCATCACTTATGTGGGATTTCTTGGGTATGAAGCCAAAATATTTCACTTACATTCTTCCAAAAGCACTTAAATACAGTAAATTTTGTGTAGTGTAAATTAGTAATGATGTGATTTGGAGGCACAAAACCCCAGTGAGAAGAGTGTCTGAGCACAGGTGAGCTGGGAGCTGACGAAGCACTGAGGCAGTTAAAGGAGTTTCTCTTGTCTTGTTGTTGTCAGCCTGTGGAGTGAGGTTATCAGTGTGACATTTCTCATCTGTACTTCAGGTTTGTTAATTTGTTATTCTGTGTTATTTGTTACAACAAATCAATGCATCCTGTTCAGTGGGACAGTCTGGAGTCTTGCCTTTACTGCCTGACCAGCTCAAATTTCCACTGACCTGCCTTGTACTCCTGTAAGGAATTACAGCACTAAAAGCAGATGCAAAGCTCTGAATCTCCACACCTTCCTGCATGACAGCGAGGTGAAGTCAAGGTGTAAGAGAAAGATGCCCTCCATAGAGTTCAGCTGACTTTGCAGTTAGGTTGGAGGAAGAAATAGGATATGGGCAGCCTGACCGACAGCGTGGAAATAACCCTGACCTTGCCAACACTTGTACCTGAGCCAGCCTGTCTGCATGTGAACTGTCCTTTAGACATTGCTGAAATTTTTTATTTGTTCAGAGAAAATATGTGTTTGAAGGACTGAACCAAAATGGGAACTTGAGGTGTTAGTCATGTAATCAGTCAGCTCCACTCAAAAATTTGGAAGAGCTGGGCAGGCATATGAACAGGCAGTATCTGATGCAGAAGATCCTCTGAAAGCTGTCTGATGCTGACTGTTCTCCCATGGGACTGCTAACAGAACTGCTCAACATGCATGATGTGGCTGGTGTGAGTCTGTGAGAGCCAAGGTCTGTAGGGGCCATGGTCTCTGAGGTGCCCCATTTACCTCCAGTGTGATGATGGTTCTGTAACAAAGGCAGACAGAACTGAAGTGTGGGGACCCAAATGTCTGAGCTAACAACCCATGCAAATTGAACTCCTTACATTAAGCAAAGAAGTTTTAAATTGGACAGAATTCACATTGTTGTCTGCTTCAATTTTCAGACATACATATAGAAGTGGTTTTAATACTTTACATATTGAACAATCACCATGTGTCCTTTGAAGTCCTGTTTTGTGTCTGAGCTACTATTTCTGGGCTATTTGGGATTAAGTCTGCTGTGTGCATGTTTAAAAGTCAGCATGTGCAGATTAGAATGAGAAATATGTGAAATGTGGAGGTGTTTAGAATTTCCATTTAATTTCCACTTTAAATGTTCAGGTATTGTTTAATTATAATTATTTCACATCAATTATTGCACCTAACAACAGAGAATCAGACTGCAGACAAACTTTAAAGCTTTTTTTCAAAGACTGTATTTGCCTTTTTTTTCCCTTTCACCATACCTTGAGATATCCTTCTGTTAGAATGGGGTGTAGGATTCCCTTTATGATGTTCTGGTGCATTGTTGTGAAAGGAATTATCATGTTGCAAATTCAATAACCTCCCTTCAGGATCAGTTAGCAAGAAATCATAGGTCATAAAGGAACAAAACCTTGTTAAACTTAATATCCTCAGTAACAAAGCGGGAAGGGTAAGAGGAGTTCTAAAAATTTCAGAGGTTTTGGTTTTAATCAGCTTTGAAAATTTTGATCTAATTTGAAATGTGAGTTTCAGATGATTATCCTGCTTTCTGCAACACAGAAAGTTTGTTCATAAGGTGAAAATCCACTGTGTGCCAAGACTCAGCTTAGAGAATGTTTTTATGGCTATTCAATAAACTTTGAAAATACGGGTTTATAATGGAAATGCTGACTTACTTCTTATTCTAACAAGACTGGTGGATGCTGCTGTAATGGACTGTGTAATTTATAGGAGTCACCTGTTAAACCATCTGGGACAGAAAGTTTCCCAACTTCTAAAATGTTGGTAACTGGATTAGCCTTATAAACTTCATTTTGCAATGATACCAAATGCATCTATACCAGCCCATTGCATTCTTGGGCTGTCATTTCATATTTATAAAAAAAAATAAAAAGAGCTTTTTTAACTACCTCAGTATGAGAAGTAGTGGAGGTTAGAAGCTGGTGCTTTGATTTATTGTTTATAGGTGTCATATGGAGTGAGTTCTGGGGTGAAATAAAAGTTTTTGTTACTCCTCAGATAGAGAAAGTGTCAGGGTTTTTTAAAAGGGACTTGGGGCTTTTAAATTTGGCTACACTATGTAAGTCCATTGGGCCTTTCATAGACTGGAGGAATGAGCAGAAAAAGAGGTTATTGAAAAAAGAAAGATGATGAATGATGGGGGATCATTAATAGTCATCAGCAAGAAAAGCCCTATCTGTGAGTTTATGGGAATAACAATGTCTCTTGCAGTAGTAAATACTTAAATTTTCCTTGGAAGCCAGTGATCAATGAGGAGCAACTTTATTTTGTCACTGGTTTATTTTTTTTCTCCAACTGTTTTTTTCTTCTCTATAATAATTTTAATGTGTTGTTTATTCAGTTTCATGGTACTCTGAGTAAAAGGTGTTTGTTGGCAGGACTTTCAACTCAGCATTTGGGATACTTCATGTAATTTATCATGGAGAATTCCTGTTACTTTGTTAAAAGAAACATCCATTTTTGCAGATGACTTGATGAAGCTAAAGCACTGAACTTCAGGTGATCATTACAGATATTTTGCATGGGAATTAGAGCAATATTAGCCTTTCCCCCACAGTGCAATTGTAATACATAACATTTTGCACTCCTGTTGAAGTGTCTATGGATGTAACTTGGCATTTTCACCCCAGCTGTTGCAAGGTGTTGCTCAATACTCTTAAACAGATGCTAACGTCCAGTGAACATCCAGCTAGCAGTAGTCTTCAGACAGCCTGACAGACAACCTCTGGCCTTGTAGGGGAGCCAGATGTTTCTGGGCAGCTTGTTGGAGACTGTGGAGCCGGCTCCTATGGGAATAATGAGCATCCCAAGCCTCAGTGCTTTCCACACCATATGTAAGAGGCATGTCGCCCAGCTATGTCCTCCAAGAATACATGTAGGGCAGATGAAACGTTTATGAAAAACAAATCTGAATGAGAATTCCAGAAAAAGGAAAGCCCTGTAGTCCAGAGGCAGTTCTCCACCCTCAGGAAGCAGGCAAAGAACTGACTGAACCATCCAAACCAGATAGCAATCCTATTGCTTAATGTGCTATTGGCAACTTCTCAAGAATTGTGGTGAAGGGGTTCAATGAAATTATACATATATTGGCATGAACTCACATTCCATGGTGCCTTTTCTTTATTCTAATTTTTAGGTTTTTATGTATCTTTCAGAACACTGTATCAAGGTACTTGAAGCTTTAGTTTGTCTGCTGCTTAAAATATGTGAGGATTTGGGAATCATAGTGGACACACAGCTGAGGATTAGCTTTCAGTGCAATGCTATGAAAAAGGAAGGTGGTGCATATCAAGTCAGTATAGCGGGATGATTTCCCCTCCCTACTTATTATTTATAGGGCTAAAACACTGCACTCTTGGACTTGAATACAAGAGTGGAAAGATGGGCCATTAACACCTGAATATGTAAAAAGCATGACCTAAATTCTTCTCTGACTATTTACTAAGATCTTTAATTCAGTGAAAATGCATATAGTTAAAAAATTAGTTAAGGATTCTCACCTAAATAACAAAGGCAGAACAAACCCCTGGGTACAGTTTAGCACCAAACAGATAGAGCAGAGAAATGAGACAAATATTTAAGTGATGCTAGAAAAATGACTGAGCTATCAAGGGAAAAACTGAGTTTTATATCTCCTGAAAACTTCATACCAGGACTTGTTGGAGGATACATATAAGCCAAAAAAATTCTGGGGCTCAGTGAAAAAGCAGGTGAATGGAATTATATGGTCAGTGTTGTACTTTTGGTCTTTAGAAGTAGAAAGGAAGTTGAGTTTAAAGGGAGCTAACAGCCTGCTGCAGGGCAGGCTTAAAAGAAGACAGAGCACAGACAGCAACTGATGGTGAGCATAACTATTTTTTTTCTATTTTTAGCTGTGTCTTTTCAGTGACTGCATTCGAGGATGGCAAGAGACCACGTACCATTACGTAACTGTTTGAGTGAAAAGAATTTTCCTCAAAAGTACTTGGGACACTAAACAGATGGCAGCAACTTAATCCAGTCCAAAGAAGGAGTAAGTGAAATCACTCAGTCAGTTACATGCATTGGGAAAACTCTCTGATTCTCTCATATCTAATGGAAAAAGAAAATAAAACATTACTGAAACTGCCACGTATATGTATTTTTATTACAGCAGAGCAATCAGTTGTCTTTTGTTTTCTTAAACTGATATTATCGAAAAAAAATTGTGCTTTTTGTTTCGCTTTTTAAAAAAATTACTTATTAAATCTTCCTTAACAGTTTCTTATCATAGTTCATGATACTGACACAGAAATGCTGTAGTTTGTAGCTATGTGAGATCAGATGAATTGAAAACTTACTTTGCTGTTGTGTTCTCCATGGGAGTCAGTGGAAACCATGGTTGAGCACTTGCATCTCCCCACAAAGCCAGACTAGGAAATGAACTTCACCAAAGCTTTCTCAACATAACATCACAGAAAACAGTTGGAAAGAGGAAAGCAATTGGGCAGAGCTAATTCAGTCCATTAGTAGCTGAAAATCAGATGCTTCATGCTCTTTTGGCAAGGTTTGGACCTGCAGTAAGACTATGATAGTAGGTGACCACCTTTGAAAAAGTATCTTTCCCTTTCCTTCCCTCTAAAGTATGACCTCTTACCTACAGTCTCAGGAGATACAGTTTTCATCTCTAGCTGAAGAGGCTTCCACAATAACTCTAACAGTTTTAAATGCACCCAAAATGCCAGCCTCTAAGCTCCTGGGCAAATTACAGACAAATATATATTTGCTGAGCTGTGTTACACACATCTTCATTGCTGTTCGCAGTGACATGAGCTCCTGCTGATGAGATATCTGGATGCAAAGCAGAACTTGCAGGAAAAATATGGTTACTGCTAATAGTTTGCTCTGTGAAACTAATTTCTCCTTTAAATTAATACTGTTTTAATTTTCACCATTCAGTTAATGGTAAGGCACAATTTTAAATTCAATTACCTTTCCAGGGCACAAGTAGTTACAGTCAGTGCATAGGTATGGGAAGGCAGAGTGTCACAGCCAGGACCCATTCTGCCACCCCAGCCAGGATCAGGGCAGCTGGGGACAGCCCCAGGCACTGGGAAAAGGAACATGTGAGGAGGTCCCAGGAGAAGTTACTGTGACACTCAGGGTACTGGAATTTATTGCACATCCACAAAGGGTTTCTGTGCATGGATTCATGCCTGTGTGTAGAGGTGCTCTGGCCACATTCCACCTACCACTTCATCCTGATGTGCATCTCCATCACCTCCTCCTCTGCTCACCACCCACCCAGCTTCATCCCACTGATGGATGTCCCTGCCAGAAGCACATGGGCTTGCAGGTCACCAGCCCTTACCAACCTGTTTTTAAAAAAATGGTTTTAAGCAAGATTATCCTTGAAAGGAATAGCTGATTTGAAATCATTGTGAATTTGGAGTCATCTTCCATATCTTTGTCCTCCAGCTCCTGAATGTGTCAGTTTCCAAACCCTGCTGCCAGGTCTTCTTTCTTTTCTGTGTATCTGGTAAAAAAATGAGATGAAAAATACTTTTTGTGGAAGTAAGACAGTGGCTACCATTTTCAGCTTTGAATGAGCAGAAAAGAGAGGATTGAATTTTGCCTGCAAAAAAATTGGGAAATAATAATGTAGATGAAAGTAACCTTCTCTCTGAGCCCCTAAACTTGGGAGAAATAGAAACACAGTTGTGTTTGTAGCCTTATTCTAATAATGTAGTATACAAACTGAGCACATGTAAGTAGAAGGCAGAGAATTTTATCTTGAAATTTTCACACTACCACAGAGAAAACAAACTTTAAAAAATAAGCAGAATATCACTTCAAGAATGTTTCACTTAGAGCTTAGTGTTCTTTTTATTTTGTAAATTAATTAAAAACAAAGGAGGTACGTCTAGTAACAATTACTGAGAAGTTTTTGCAAAAAATATGCTTTTCACAGTACAGTACTTCTTCCTCACTGAGGAGAACTAGGATTTATTTATTGTGCTGTATAAAAATATTAAACTAATAGTAGGCAATTTTGTATGACTTCATGTTATCATAAATTAATTCATTTTCAAATCAGATTCAATAAAACCTCAATTTATAGTAATAAAATCCAGATTTGCATGCCACTAGAAATATGTTCTACCAAAAATAACAAGACTTCAGGAGGTAATTAAAGTATATTCTGTATACTATATATGTTTTTAAAATTTCCCTTCTGTACCATATAAGCAATGGCCAGAGAAGGTGTGGGGTTTAGGTGGAACTGGTTGAATAATATTAAAATAAATAAAGAAAAAAGAAAGACTACATTGTAGGTTTTGGCTCAGTCCTGCATTAAGAGTGTTGTGTAAACTACACTTCATCTCAGGAGCAATCCTGGGAATATGACACTCAAAGTATCTCAGAAAAATGTGACTTAGTGTACTTCTGTGCTGCACAGCTGGCTGATCATCACCTGCTGTGACTCTTACATGTGCCAGAGCATGTGTGCATGCTGTGGTGCTGTACCTAGTCTGCAAACATGTTTGCAGGGGCACATTCTGTGGTCCTTGGTGCTAAAACACTTGTAACCACTTCCTAGCCTAGCAAATGCTGTGTCCTTGCCTTGCTGTGCCATGGTCTCCACTTCCTGTAGGAATCTTGGGTACAGTCAGCCATCTGTACCTTTAAATCCACTTTTACTGATTGCCTTTGGGGAACAGGGTATGCCTTACATTTTAGTCCGTCTAGAAACTCAGGGACATGCCACAGAGATGTCCAGTGGCCAAGAGGCAGGCAAGGGCCAGGTAGGGATCAGAGGGATGAGAACATGTTGCATCCCAGCAGCAAGAGGAGGGGTGGAACTGCTTGTGAGAGGGCTGCATTTGTGCATTTGTTCCTTCATTTTGGCTCCATTTTGCCTTGGTACTCTTTCTATATCTAGAAGGAGTTTAGTTCCCTACTAAAGTACATGTCTAATGTCAGTGACACAATTTCCATCTGAGGGCGGTCTCCTCCTGCCACCCCAAGCCCAAAGAAGGAGCTCAGACCAAGCAACCAGCTCACTGACTTAAAATCAGAGAAGGTGGAGTCCCAGTTACTGAAACTAGTGCAGAGCCTCAGGCCGGGCAGCGTGCCCAGGTACAGGGGTGTCCTTGCAGTTAAAAACCTGTGGTTCTCCAATTTTCATCTTTTGGCTTACATGCATCAGGTTGTTACCAAATTAAAGTCTTCAAGAATTTTTTTTCCGGATGGGACGCAAAGTCTGAACTTCTTGAGTGTCCTCATCCTCCAAGTGCTCTCAAGGGACTCCTGAGAGGCTTTTCCTGCAATGCCCATGGGATGGCTCAGGGCAGCCCAACCCATCCTTTATCCCCTTCTGATCACAGAGGATCTCCCAGAAGAGAGACTCTCTTGGAAAAAGGAGCTGGTGCCTTGAGACATACCTGCACAGAGCCAGCCCAAGCCCAGAACCACCAGATATCCTCTGACAGCTGAAGATAACCTGCTCATCTTTTGCCATTTCTTCATTAAAGTAGGACTGCCTTCAGATGTTTCAGCCAGTGTGTAAATTGCCAGTCAATTCTGTCCTAGAGATAAGAAAATGCTTTCAACAACTGGGCTTTCATGTCAGTCTACATGCCGTCTACATATTACCATGATAAAATGATTTTCAATAATAGTTTTTCTCTAATTTGGAAGTGTTTATCAACCATTTCAGCATTTTCTGTGTCTCTTTTCCACTTTTTTTTTCCATTTAAAAAAAGAACCCACAGGACAAGATGTAGAATTTCCTGTTAAGAAAATTGGAATAAAATATTTATTTTCAGGCATCATTAATCACTACAGTTTCAGTGCATCTGGGGATCTGTGGTTTCATCCTCCCCAGCAGTCCACACTCTCTAACCCACTGCATCTTCTGTAAAGCACAGAGGTCAGACTGTGTCTTGGCAGTGTTATTCTGTGCTCTACTATTACTAGAAATGCTGCTTGCTGATTTTCTTTTGACACCCTGAATTTGCCCTGTCAATTTTCCTTGCTTTGTAATGAGCATTTTAGCAAATTAAATGCAAGCAACTTATTTTCTTTACTATTTGTTGCTTTCCCCACCCTTCCTAATCAGCCTGTTGTTTTTCATGGTTGAACAAGTATAAATAATTAGCACATCAGGAAAATCAGATCTCTTCTATTGAAAATTATTGAGACTGAAAATGAGGCTGCATTAATCAATTTGGTTTCTGCAATTGTTTCCTCAGTTCTACTCTGTGAAACTTTCTAGCAGACTTGGGGAATATGGATAACACTAGCCACAACATTTTGGAAAAAGAAATATCTCCCTGGCTCCCTCTGATTTTTCCCTGAGGGTCTATTTATTTAGTGCTGAGCTTTGCCAGACCACTTGATACTTCTATTCTAACACACAAAAGCAGTTACAGTATGTAAATGATTCAGAGATACATTTTGAAGTAATTAAATGCAGAGCAGTGATGCAGAAAATTAGTCAAAATTAGTGTAAAATTATGATAACCACCATTCTGAGTATTGAGTACAGTGGAAGCTGCAATGGTAGTGGAAAAAAGGGGAAAGATTATGGTTTAAGTCACGGTCCTGGAAGTCAAAAGACCAATGTTCAGTCCTAGTGCGACCTCAAGCAACCCACCTAACTTCTGTTCCTCATTTGCAAAAGGAGATAATTGCACTCTGCTACAAAGAAGGACATTTACCAAATTTTATAAAGTACTTCTAGATGCTGTGATGTAAAATGCACTGATACCAGGGTCAGCAGGATTTTCCTTCCTAGAAATTTTTAGGAAAAAAAGAAACTATATATGTAGCTTATTTACTTTGGAAAGCAGTCTCAGAGATGTTTTCAATGGTAAAGCCAGATGCTCCTTAATTTTTGGCAGAATTTCTTCATCCTTGAGTCTGTCCACATCCTGAGCAATTCTGTTTATTCTGTGTTTCATATGAAGAACTGTTACTCCTACCTCCTCTCCATATCCCTTCCTGTGCTCTGGGTGCTGAGCAGGATGGAAGACAAAATATTAGGGCATAAGGCACAGCCTTGGCTGAAGGTGCTGGTGGAGCAGGACTTGTTAGACAATATCCTCTGAATTATCCTCTTGGGTGTGTCCC